GCAGCTGTCAGAAGGTTTTACTTGCAGAGATGCACAGCTGATTACAGCACTAAACACTTGTAACTCACATCCTTTTTGAGTTCTACACCACAAACTAACATGTGACTCAGGATAACAACCTGAAAAAGGAAGAATGTGCCACTATCCTTAACAGAGAGGAGGTATTTTTTGTGCACTCTTTTAAAAAGACATCACATGAACACATTCCTTTGCAGTCACACTGCATCTAGATGTATCAATCCTTGGGTGACACGACTGAAGCTGACAAGGAGCTGAAGAAGGAAAGGTCCTGTCCTGCTTAGGTCAGAAACAACCAGAAAGTGCTGGGAGGTGCAGGACCAAGTGGATAACTACTGCTGCAAAGGTTCTGCCTCTTATGCAGTTGGTGTAGGATAGAAAAACATGAAGAAAAAGTTTGATAAAAAACTTCTCAATAGCCATTTTTAATGGATTAGCATCACTTCTATATTTCAGACCAACAACAATGAAGTTTAACAAGGCTGTATGAACTGTTCTTTGTCTGTCTGTTCCATGAGGTCTCAAGGCCCTCCTGGAAAAACAAACAATAGGACTGCAGTAAATGTCTGCCTTTCTCATGTGTTTCCCTGTTTTGTTTTGTCTTCTTTAACTTTAAAACAGAGGCTCAATTCATGCCTGTTATTGCCTACACTGGACAGGCTCTAACTCACTTGGACTACAGAAGTAAAAACAGGCAGAAAACCCTGCAAGTGTAGGATAATTCTGTCATTAGTAAAAGCCATGCTAGAATTTAAACTAGACACTCACTGAAAGGTTTTCACCACTTGCTACCTTCCTGTCCTAGAGGTCCATATTCTAAAAATTCCTGTAACTCTGCTGGGTGTAAGATAATGAATTCTGCTGTGATGTCTCTTACTGAGAGAAACCAAGTGTACTGAAAAACTCAAGCTCTGTTAGGGATGAATTCTTACTTTTCTTTAAAACAGAATGAAAAACCATGCCAGATTTGCAACCAACAAAAGAAGTAAAAAAAAGGAACCCATCCAAGGGTATTCTGAGAAAGCCAAAACATATGAAAAAGCATTTATGCTGTAGGCTCTTGAATGTGTACCCAAACCAAGTTTGACCTTCCAAAGGAAACACACAGTAAAAGACTGTTGGCTAAAGAAACAGGAATATTAAGAATTGAATGGAGGTGCAGGGAGGATCTAGTTGAAATAAAATTATCTAGGTAAAACAAAAAAGAAAAACAAATGCTTTGCTTCAGTTTTTGAGGGGCTGGGGGATAGATATCTCATACATCATGGTGCATGGATATCAAGGAACAATATGCAAAACAAACTCAAAAAGCCTAACACCATAAACTCTTGAGGGAACCTGTGGTCTCCATGCCAGAATTTTGAGAGAAACAGCACAGAGAATACCCATTCAGCAGAAAGGATTTTTAATAAATGCTTTAAAGTGCTAAGAACAACAATTTCAATGCACATTCTCCACTTCTTACAGAATTAGAGAACTTGGGTTCCTCAGTCACTGCTTCCATGAACATAAGAATAGTAAAAGCATCTTGCATAGAGTATAGGAGCCTTTTGACCTCTTGTTTGTCTCTGTAAAACCTGGACAGCTGCTCACTTGTTTATCTTCCAAAAAGAACAAAGAATTCTGTAAAACTTTTGACTCAGTGACTTTGTTTCCACTGTTCTTGGTATAATTGTTAGGATGACTATTAGTGCTCTAGTTACCAGCAGTTATTATTATTTTAAAGTCATTCCTTTCCACTGAGTTTATACCCTAATGGGATATTGGTAACTGTAATTTCAATCCAGCTTATATTTTTCAACTAAAACCACCTTCATACAGAATTTTTTAAAAAAGTTTTACCATTAATCATTACATTCTGCAGCATTTAATATGTATTATCTTAAAAACCACCAACCTGTTTCCTACATATTTCACATAGCAGAATTGCCTTTAACCGTACTATCTAACCTAATCTATTTCTGTAACATCAATATCCTGATTACAATGTTATCCAGATAACATACAAATGCTCCCATGCAAGATCAAGCCCACAAAAATCGCTAAAACACAACAAAAATGGGATGCTTAGAGTCAAAAAATTACAGAGAACTCTGCATATGCCCTGGATCAACTATCTAGTTATTCCAAATTGACAGCTACCACTGCATTAAGCAGTCCTTGCAAGTGAATAGTGAAAAGTGTCTTAAGGGGAGCAGCATCCTGATGCTCCAGAGGCAGTTCTGTTACAGCCCAGCAGAACAACACACCTGCCTCTATGTAGCTGCTCTCAAGTGTCATCTCATACCTCGCAGGACTGCAGTGAATGTTTTACATATCTTTGGTTAAGCTTGGACATTGAAATGCATAGCTGGTAATTTGCATTAACAATAATACTGGGCAGCATTTTACTGTTACGAGCTCTATTTTTAAAAACATTCTCTCTGTGTAATTACATGTTTGAAATGCTTCCTGAGAAACTGATCTGGAGAATTTCTGCTTTTACTGCCATGTTGAAAAATTGTCCCTTGTGAATGAGTGGCCTTGACCATTTACATTTCCCCTGTAACCAGTGAGGTGCCATTCTCTGGCACTAGCAGCATGCTGGCCACAGAACATTTCATTTCCTCACCTTGGCTGCTGTGCTAACAGTGCACTTCTGAGTAACCATAAGATCTCCTAAAGCTTCTTCCAGGAAACAGGCATTGTCTGGAATGTACCTAACTAGGAATGCCCGACTCAGAAAATGAATGCCAGGCTTTCCTCAGCACTCTCTGTGCTGGCAATCACTATCTCTAAGGGATGCTGGAGTAGCTGACTAACATTGCACCAAACCTCAAAAAACCTTCCCATGGCTGTGGCTGAACGATGATATTCATTAAGGAGAAAGCACACATCCTTTCTAACAATTTTTTTTTTTTTAAATCTCTGAGCTCTCATCAGGACTTGCAAAGCAGCAGTGGAAGATGGCCCTGACAGAACCCATTCTATTACTACTGTCCATTCAGGGGCTGGGCAGTGAGTCACTGTTTTATGGGTGCACAGCTCATGCAGTGCACACTGGGCACTTTCTGGGCAGCCCTTGGGTCTACTACAGCCTCTTCACATCTGAGGCTTTTCCCCCCATAGTCCCTTTCTGAGTGACTGTCCACATACATACACCCCTTACAGAGCACTCCAAGAAAACACAGGTTCCTGCAGAGCTGTCTTTGCCTCTTCACAGAAGCTGAGTGAAGCCCTGTTACACTCCTCAGTGCAGTTCCCAATTCCCCAAAACTGCAAAACTCCAGAAAGAAATACTCAGTCATGATCATGGAATTCAAGTCTAAGAGGACTTGACATAAAGAAGACTCTTATTTCACAGAGAAACATAAGCAACTCTGTAATCTTAAAAGACCCAAGAGCCCCTTAGTCACAAAGAGAGGGATAAGCAACACAGGCATTAAATGAAGCTTATCTAGAAAAGAATTGTATGCCCTAATGAAAGCTCCTTAGCCTGTGTTCACTGATACAGGAGTGATCTGAAGACCTAACCAAGCATCACCTACAACATGGTTTGGACCTACATCCAGCTCACAAACTCTTACTGCTATGGGACATATGCTGGATGTTTCAGGGCCTGTCTTCAGTATACAAACAAGAACTGCAGTAAGGAATGAGACCTTGTAATCATCTTGCACATTTGAATTCCTACTTTACCACACTACAGTATGTTAAGACAAATGTCCTTCACATTAGAATGGCTTTGGTTGGAAGGGACCCTTAAAGGCCACCTAGTCCAACAGCCCCTGCAATGAGCAGATCAGTTTGCTCAGAGGGTCCTGCAGCCCAGCCTGAAATGCTTCCAGGGATGCAGCCCCTACCACTTCACTGGGCAACCTGTGCCAGTGTTTCACCACTCAATTGCAATAAATTTCTTCCTTTTATCTAGCTAAATCTCTTCTTTCATTTAAAATCATTACCCTTTGCCCTATCACAACAGGCCCTACTAAAAAGTCTGTTCTCATCTTATTTATAAGCCCCGTAAGTACCCAAGGGCTGCAGGACAGAGACTTCTCCAGCCTGAACAGCCCCAGCTGTCCCAGCCATTCCTCGTGGGAGAGGTGCTCCATCCCTCTGATCACTTCTGTGCCTCCTCTGGACCCACTCCAACATTCCCTGTCCTTCCTGTGCTGGGACCCCAGAGCTGGAGAAGCTCTGCAGGAGGGTCTCACTGAAATGGAGTGGAGCAGCATACCCACCTCCATAGGTCAGGCTGGGCTCTGATGGGTTTGTAGTCACAAGAAAAGGAATGTTTCTTACCATGTCCTCAATTGCAAAGTCAATGCAAAAGAAAAATTTTCTTTGAAAAATCTATATTGCTATTAATGTTTAATCTTATTTTAAAATGAAATTACTGAACATGCAGACATTGCAGTTTAGTTTTTTACCATTTTTTATGAAGATATTTGGGGAAATTCTGCATCTGACAGAATTCTGTCTTGAATTTTAAAAAGAAGCTGCTTTGATTCACTTTCTGAACTTCAGGAAAAACACAAGCATAAGCGCAGTGATCATAATTGTGCAAGACAAAGAAATCAGGTTGAGTCTTTTGGTGTAAGGCTGAAAGAATTTGATATGGGAATATCAGAATCACCTGGAAATACTCTCTCTCCTACATTCCACAGGTTAAAACTGAAGAACTACAAGAAGATTTGGTTCTGTAGCTGCAAGTTAGGAATGAATGAAGTGAACAAAGATCTTTACCAACCAAACATAACTATGTATTTTTAAAGAAGTAAACACATTTTAATGCAACATTCTGATGTGGTACTCAATGCAGTTCTAGACTTCTGGAGTTACAACCACACGTTTCACTGTAACCCAAATTTCCCAGGCCAGTTCAACCTGAATATGAGCTTGGGGGCACTTATCACACACACAGTTCCAAACACTCCCAAAAATGCCCTGACATCCTGATCCATCTCAGACATGAATATGAAAAGAACAAATACCAAACTTACCCGAATCATCATGACAGAGCACCTGATGCTGTGAATCGTATCATACACCTTCTTGGAAATGTCAACAAACTGGTTGTCATCAAACAGATGCACTGTGTTCTTGCTTAAGCTCTCCAATGCAATATTTACTTGACTAATAAACTCCGGAATCACTATTTAAAAAAACAAACAAACAAACAAACAAAATTCAGTGAGCATAAAAGGGATAGAACATGTAGGTTTTTTTCTTTTTGGCACAACATCTGACATTGATAAAAAGTTTATTTTCTAAAAAGCATTACTGTAATAGTGCAATTACTTTTAAGCAAGAATACATTTGTAGTTTTTATTACAGTTATAAATATGCCCACAGTAAGTGGGTAGTTGTACAGTACTACAAAGAAGAAAGAAATTTTAAAAGGGGAGCTGGGGAAGCAGTTGTAAATATTTGTTGTTGACTTCAATAGCAATTTTACCCAAAAAATCAGGATGAACAACCTGGCTTAAACTTGGAACCAGTGCTGAAAAGACTTGCACTATTTCACAATCTGCTTTCAGTCTGAAGGGAGATGTAACCAGCAGAAGATTCTCAGTGGAAGAATAAGCATCAAAGTTCCACAACTGTGACCCAAATTTACCAGGGCAATTCATCTTGTTTGAATCAAACAAACTGTGCATTTCGAGTCGGGTTGATATTAACCTGTGCTTTGCCCAGAATGGCCTGGGCATTTCCTTCTGATGCTCCAGGGCCTTATTCTGCATAGTGACCCTGCAGCACTGTATCGCCCTCAACCCTTCACACCAACCTGAAGCAAAGGAAGCCAAGCACAGAATATGGAAGAAATGCAGATGGAAAATCCATCACACACACAGAAGGACCTCAAACAAGCCCAGACCAAACCCATTTCCTGTCATTTGAAGTCTGAGGACATAGAAGAAATAAATGCAAAAGGATAAAACTCAACTTGTGTAACATTCAATATGAATAACAAACCTCGTGGTACTAAAGCTGTCTCTCCGGCAATGTGTTGGTTTCAAACACCAATACTGTTTGTGTTCCAGCCTCCACTCCACAATTCCACACTGTGCAATTCACAAATTCTTAGCACACGAAAGCACTACTACTAATACAATTAATGTGGAACATTCCAGGCAAATCTTGAAGTATATAATAAATCTGCAGGCAGACAAAGCTTCAGCTGAAGACAACTGCATTTCTGAATTAGAAAACCTGGTAACTGAATACTTTAGTATTAAGTAGCAGTAGTAGTAATAATGCTTTCCTCCCTAACGTTGATGAGGAGACCCAACATAACACTTGGAGATAGTTGAATTCATTCTGTCTTTGAGCCAACAAGTAGCTGCCACTTAATTTGAAAAATGGGGTATTTAAAATCAGAGCTACCCTCTTCAGAATATCACTGGAATTGTCTCACCTTCAAAAAGGTCAGTAGAAAGATTTATAATAGAACAGAAAAAATACAAGGTACATTTTCCATTTGCAACCACATAAAATAATTAAGGAGAACAAGTACCTATTTATTGCTTAAAAAAAAAAGAAAAATCAAAGAACTACCACTGAGAACTTTTCATCATTTCATAATGGTTTTATTTCTAGTTAAACAAAGATTCTGGCCTCTAGACTACCAAAATAATTCCAAGGGGAGCAACCCAGGCTGCACTTGAGTACAGAACCACCACCTCAGGGCCCTCCTCCAGCAGCATTTCAAATGGGGCTTTGCAGCAACAGCACTTCTACACAGACAATTAAAGCACAAGACTATACTGCAGTTCTAAAACACATACACACCAACCTGCTAATGAAGTGTGAAAATACACTTGGGCTATCAAAAAGGCCTTATTTCCTGGTCATTTCCCCTGTAAGTGATAGGATAACTCCCTCAAATCCAAGACTACTGGGATTTATTTCAGTTTTGAGCTCCCAACCAATGAATTCTAAAAAAGAGCATTTTGGTGCATATATGAGCTCTTAGCTATGGATAACTGACATCCAAAATACTTCATAGGCCTCAAATGTTCAGGCAACACTCTGAAATACTGCATTAAGTGGATTGGATTACAACAATAACGTGCATCTTTCCTGTACTTGGTTTTATTTTTCTAGACAGCCTAAATATAGCGAAGAAGTGGATGGAACTGAGAACAGGTAGAAATTACCCATTTTCTTTCAGTCCTTCAAAAACAAAATAAAACAAGTAAAATTTAAAAATATCAAGTGTTAGGAAACTGACAATTACTAAATTTTTATTGGGATTTGTTTGTTGTATTTGTACATTTTATTTCTATTTTCTTTGTGTTCCATTTTGTTTCTCTGCAACAAAAAATAAAAGTAAATTTCAATATGAGCATCTGTAATTCTGCTTTCCCTGAGGGGAAAGATACAGAAACGAGGATGTTTGGAAAATACTAATATGTTCATAAGCATAATGTTCAAAGTCCCTAAAGTAATTAAACAATTCACATTATCAAAAATAGATTCCTGAAATTAACCCAATTTACTTTAAAATTCATCAAGTATTTCCTAATTCCTGTTTTTTTAAATAACACTTTCATATTTCCTTGTAGGCATGTCTTCTTAGTCCTCTAATATTTTTGCTTGATTTTGTAAGCTTCAATCAAAACCAACTAATGAACCCAGCTTGTAGTTTAATAGCTGTTAGGGCTTAGCTCTTCACACAGAAAACTGAATTTCACTAAGCCCTTTATTCCAATTTGCAACTCTACGCCTGTTATTTTTACCAGTAAAATGATCAAGAAAACAGATTCTCAGCTTTGCAGAAGGCCACTGCCAATAGGTGAGAGCACAAGCCACTGTGCTTGTACCTCTTAACTCAGCTGTGTTAAGTGATTACTTCAGTCACCATTAAAGCAGCTTACAGTGAAAAACCAACAGTCTGCAAAGCCAAACTGGCCACACGTGTCCAACACTCACCTAAGGAGTGTCTTGGCAAAACAAACACACCTGACCAGACGTGAGCAGTCACCACCTCCTAGAACTGACCAGAAAAAAAATTTACTTCTTGCTTCTAATTCAAAATCCTTACAGTTCTTCACTCAGGGAAAAAAAAAAGGGATGAAACTAGCAAACCCACAATTTATCTTAAGAAAAAGAATTTGTGGTAAATAACCAAATTTTCCCTTCGGTGTTTATCTGCATGTACAGAGACTGTGAACAACTCATCCAGTGTTGCCAGCAGACTGGGAAAAGGCTGGAGAGCTCCCACTGGAACAAAGACTGGAGAAGGACTCCTTCAAAGGCAGCTTTGAAAAGGAAGTGAGAGCACAGGCAGTGCCTGAAGCTCCCTGCAGCACAGCTTCAGAGCCCAGCTCCACACCCTGAACCCTGCCACAGCTTTGCCTTAACTCAAGGGCCCTTCAACAAAAGCCAACAACCCCCCGGGGGATTCAGCCACCTGCAGACATCCTCAGTGCTCAAAGAAAAGCCATTAAAAAAAGGTCATTTTAAAAAATTAATTTGGGCAAGCTGGAGTGAAAAAATGGTTTTCCTTCTGAAGGTAAGAAAATCAGGGTAAGTTACTAGTCATTAATTAGGACTCTAAGAGGATGAAAACTTGCAAAAGCTCACCTGAAGTACAGTCAAGTGAGACCTAAAAGGCTACTGGATGAGTTTCATATGAAACTAGCAGGACAGCAGAGCACTGAAATAAAGTAAATGTGCAGGCAGGCAAGCTAAAAGAGGTGTGTGCAACCCAGACCTATGGCACAGGTGGTGGCAGTATCAGAAGTGACTTGACACAAGAGGTGTGTATCTCAAGTACTTTACTACTCCCCCAAAACCTGATCACCTAGCATGGAAGTCAGTGTGATGGGTATATACAGATTGCTTACAGAGGATTTAAGTAGCTTTCCAGTTACAAAAATTCAGTGGAAGTAAAGAAAAGAATGGTTGTAAAGATTAAAACCAGCCACCTGTTAAATGCAAGGTAATACTAGAGAAAGTAAGAAATCTAGTTAATAATCACACAGCCTTTTTTTGGTACTTCTTTAATTACACACTTTGAGATCAAATAATAGTTTGCACTTCCTGTGATTAAAAAATAAGCATTTGCAAATTTCTTCTCGAAAGGTATTTAAGAATTTCAGATGGTAAGAACACTGCTTATTCCAGAAAGCCAATTTTACTGCTAAGTATTATGCGTACTCTTGATGTCACTGCAATCCAGAATGGTATATAAAGAATTAAAACATAAAACCCATCTAAGCTGAGGCAACTGTGCTGGCTAAGGGACACCATGTGAAATAAAAGGGATCTGCTGGCAGAAGCCTGAGTCACTGCACCCAACACACAATTCAGAATGGAACAGATTGTTTCAGTGACTGATGGAGATAGCTTCATTAGAGGTGTTCCAAAATACATTGAAACAATAATGGAATTACTGCAAGAAGAGAGTACTGTGCACTCACTGCAAAAGGTTGAACTGAATAACACAAGCAGGTTTTGCAACTCCAACCACATGTGACTCTTACAAATCCACATAACGCAATCAGAACATGAAGCTGCTTCTGAAGCTAATTTCACTATGGTACAGACCCTTCATTCAAGCCTCTATTTCTGTGATACAATTTTACATTGGTAACTTTTTACTATGCCACTATGTCCAATGCCTTTCTAAGAGACACATTTACATATATATACATATATATGTATATGAAAGAAGCAGAAGAGCCTTGTGACCATATGTATTTGATATACCCCTCACATTAACATTCACCTTATTTGGTAACAAGCTTATAGGTTTTATGCAGGAGAAGAGATTAACTATTGGTGGAACTTACAACACCTGAAAGAGTTTATATTCCTCTGGCAGTTTCAATCCTAGGCCAGTGTACGAGAGGCACGATCTCCAAATCCCCCACTGTCCCCTCCTTGACTATTTAGAACATACAGATCTATAAATTATCCTAATGGAATTTAGTATTTCATGCCAAAGTTTCTGCATAATAACAGTGTAATACAACATGAAGTAGCTCAGGCAGAGGCCTGATGCACATAAAAAGTTTCCTAACAAAAGCAAGCTGTAATCAGTATCTGCTTCTCTAACTCAGACCTGTGCCAGCTGCAGCTGTATATTTTGCAGCTTGCAAAGCTGGCAGACAAGCACACAGCTGAGCATGTATATACATGTGTGTA